TTTAAAAAAAAAAAAAAATCTGATCTGCTCAGGAGACGGTTTCTACTTTTTTCCCTCCCGGAACTTCTGCACAAGTTTCTCCTGCCACCGTGTTGTTCGCTGCTTTTGAACCGAACCGAGTCTGTTTAGGAACCGACATCTGTTTTTTTGCTGTGTGGATTATTACTGTCAGGCAATGGATTAAGTCTAATTTCTTCAGCAGCCATGACAGCTCCTGCATCTGTTTCTTATCCATCTGTTTCTCGTGTTGTAGCACATCTTAAAAGTCCCGCATTCCTCCAGCTTAGCTTTTATACCCACTTTAGAGAATGTGAATAATGAGATCATTTACAAGAGAGGTCGCTGTTTTGAAAAAAAATGCACATGACCTGTTTGTGTTTCTCTCTTTCTTCAGGTTTGATGTTGGATTGATTAAATATAGCTCCACATCAGCTTTGGGGGAATTAACTAGTGCCAACTTTTCCTCGAGATCAACGCCAGACACCCAGGATTGAGAGGACATGCGTGGATGCTGGCGTGGAACCTAACTTTTTGACCTTTTCACTGAGGATGTGGATGTACCCAGTGTTCAGCAGCAGAAAGGGGGAACCTGTATGGATCACATATTTGTGTGTCTAATTGTTCAACCATGGTAAAACTTGCAAACCCTCTGTACACGGAGTGGATTCTCGAAGCAATACAGAAAATCAAAAGGCAAAAGCAGAGGCCGTCGGAGGAGAGAATTTGCCATGCGGTGGCTACGTCGCACGGACTGGACAAGAAGACCGTCCTTGAGCAGTTGGGATTAAGTGTTCACGATGGCTCTATTCTCAAGGTTACAAATAAAGGGAGCACCTCCTACAAGGACCCGGGAAATCCCGGAAGAGTTGGATCAATCCCACCCGCAAACGTGTCTGTGCCATCAAAGGAATCTATATGGAATTCAAGCGATCTGCGCCATATCGATTGGAATAAAATACTTAACAGGGCCATTGAGGGCCTGGATGATAACCACGGCTCCTCGCTGAAAAACATCGAGAGGTATCTGAGGAACCAGGACGACCTCTCAAACATTGTGGATAACCCTGCTTTCCGGCAGAGGTTACGGCTGGCGGCCAAGCGGTCGGTTAACAACGGCAGGTTGTCAAAAAATGGCCCCCGGTACAAGCTCAGCCATGGCGGTGTTGATCCAAGGGGCTCCAGGTGTCCAACTACGTCCCCCTTGGTCCTGACGTCAGTGACACTACTCCCCCATGAACGAGACCAGGTACACACACCTTGGCCTCTGCATGGTCCTTCCCATGTCAGCCTGAAGTTTGCTGTGTCTTCTGTTGCTGTTAGGGAGACACAGCAGTAAATAGACTGGTTATTAATGTGTTATCGATCTCAATCTTCTCACCCAACCTCAACACGACCTAAAACTTTTGTTTAGTGAGAACTTCTCTGGAACTTTTTGCCGTGGTTCTTCCATGATATCACTACTAAGGAGGCAGGGTGGAAGTTAAATCCACCACTAAGAGGAATTTTATTGAAAGGACAACTGTGGTCTTAATCTTCGGGTCTGTAGCTCGGTGGATCAGAAGCAACGCCATCTAGAGTGTGTCCCTTTGGGGCTGCGTTTCTCCCAGCCTCTATAATAAGAGAGCTTGGATAATCAGAAAGTCATGCTGACAGTGTGTGGTAGGCAGTCTGCTGTAGGCTTCCCAGAGGTTATGTAACTCTAGCCTAATGACCTTAAGGGATGTGGCTGGCTGTCTTGTGAGTTGCAAAGCGTTAGTGAAAAGAATTGGGATATTTTATTGGTAATTTGCTCGGACACACAAGCGTAAACTAGTCCTGACAAACAGGACAGAGGAATGGGAGCTGGAGTATGTGTGGCAGGACAGGGTTTTCTTCTCAGGCTTCATGCAGCTGTTATGACCTTTGTGCTAACTGAGATGCCCCAGAGAGGAAATAAAACCATATAAACAAACTTCCAGGTTGCATTGCTTCCGCTGCTTTGGCACCCGGGGTTGGTTTATAGTTTACAGAGATTGTGTTTCCATTATAGCTCTCTGCCATGATACAAGCCGCAGATAAATTTGTGTTAAGTTACACTTCATTTGCATGAAAATGTGTCATGGAAAATTGTTTTGTTTTGGGCGGCCCTTTAAGTGTGGTGCACAGTCATTTCAATAGTTTGTTGTGAAGGCTTTTTTGGCAGCTCGTGTGTTGATACCGATCAAGGTGAAGTGCAGTCGAGTAACTTATGCACAAGTAATGCAGCCGAAGTTGCTCGCAGCACCGTCGCCCTGCTCCCACCAGTTTCACAGCGAATAATCAGGAAGCGACACCTTGATTCTGCAGCCACAACTGTGACAGTGTCTGTGGTCAGGCCAAAAGTGAAACCGAGATGTGTTTAGAGACACGGTGTCCTGCGCCGGTTCCCATAGCAGAGGAAAGGGCCTGCTGTTTTCCATTTGGAACATTTCAATCTATTGCTCTGGGGCTGATGACATCACCTGGCCCAGTGCAGGTTTACCATTCACTTCAAAAGGATGAGACGTCGCTGGCTGCTCAGCTGCTGAGGCGCAACGTGTGTTGAGAATAAGAGATACTTTGAGGTAAAAAGAGCAGTCTTGGTTTAGAGTTTATTAGATTCTGAAGAGACTCTGGCAGGAACAAAGGGAAGGAATGAGAGGTTTTTTTTCCTGCTGTGTTATGCAACCACTTGAGCTCTCTCTCTCTCTTTCTCTTTCTCTCTGTCTCTCTCCACCAGCAGTGTTCTAATAGGACCCCACCCCCTCACTCAGGACAGCCTGCTCTTTTGAAGCAGCGTAATTTCCTGTAATGTACTTAATTTAGAATCCCCAAGTAAATCATCAGCATCTCTTCAGCTGTGTTTATTTCTCTATTTGCACATTTTCATGCCGTGCAGATCGCAAATTGCTATTGGTTCTAATCACCAGGCCCTAAGAATATTCCCTGATTGAAATTCATTCTCTGGTTCCTGGATTAGACGTCATGGTGCAGTCAGTGGAGACTGTGTTATGAAGTGAAGGCTTTCACTTGCCTATCAGCCCCTGAGCGTTTCATCAGCAGTATGCACAGGCTGCACATTAGCGCTGATGTCTTATTCGTTCCGAGCTCTTTACACAAGTTTTCTCACTTGTATCTGTAATTCTCTTGTAGAATTCATATTTATGACGTGTGTTAACCCCAAAATCAGAGTTTAAAGACTCACTGATTTCTGTTTGCCTCCAGGCTACATAGTAAAAATGACATGTAGTTTTTGTACATAACAAGAAGTAATCAAAACCCTGAGGCCTTGTATTCACATGCCTTTGGCTGTATTTTTTTTTTTTTTGCAGTGATACAGTAGAATGACTTGTGATCAAGGACAAATACTAATATTTCTTTGTTGCTGCCATGAGTGAATGTGAACTTTCATAAGCCTTTTAATCGACAGACCTTGTGTAGTCAAGTTAACAAAACATCAGGGTTATAAGTTGGGCTGCAGCTAGTAATTCTATTCATTATTGATTAATGTTTTTCATTAGTCCATAAAATGTCCTAAAGTAATGAAAAACACATTTTACAAGCTCTAAGAACCAATGATGTCATCTTGGCTTGTTTTGTCAGAATAAAATAGTCTAAAGATGGTGACTTAATAGCTGTGAGAGAGAAATTATCACAAATAAAAAAGCTGAAACTAGACATTGCAACTTGATTCTCGGTTAATTCTCACAGTTGTTTACTTTTTGCCAAACATCCAATTCTTTCAGCTCTCGTGGGATATGAATGACACTCATGACCACGACTGTTCTACAAGTTTGCAGTTGAAGGCTATGTATTTAATATTTCTTCCGTGATGTGAGACAGAATGAAAATCACTGATGACTCATTGTCTGAGCCGTGGCTCAGCTGTGTTATAACCGAGAGGTGGTGCCTCATCACAGCAGCATTTTTGGTGTTTTTGTGTCCGTAATCACATCTCTGCAAGCAGCAGTCAACTCCCAGTGCTAGAGCCGCTTTCAGATATTGACCTGGCAGGTTGGAAAATAGAGTAATCATTGATGTGGCGGTGAACTGCTTCCCCTTCGCTGCAACAACTAATTGATACAACAGCAAGGAACAATGACCAAATTCACTCTGAATCCCTGCTGCGTCTCTCCCCTGGGGTTCATTTGGATGGTGTGACAGGTTGTAAAAGACGCTCCTGTCAGAAACAAACATCTCCCTTAATTAAACTGTTGGTCTGGAAGAGGTCAGAATCAATGTAGATTTAGAGGTCACAAATTTGATCGAGGACTATGGTGATGATCTGCGTCATAGAAACCAGGAACTGTTATGGGCATCCCCAGAGTGCCCTTCAAAGCTCCACTCAATTGTCGAGGCCTTAGTGTGTAAACTGATGATGAGGTTGGTTATTTACGGTCACACCCTGTGAGCGTTGTTTACCGTTAAATTCATGAACGGAGGCAGCCGCTTGTTTGATGCTCCTCTAGAGGCTTGGGTATATGATCTACTATTTAAAGGGACACCCTGTGAATCCCATAATGCATCAGTCTGACAAGTGTTTCACAGGTTTTGACTGGCAGCCGTATGAGAGATGACACAAAGTTTTTTCCCTGCGAAGTCAGCCTTTCTTCGTTTCGAGTAATCAATGAGGAAATCCTCTTACACCGTGAGCTAATATTTTACTTCTGAACTTTTCTGTAAGCCCTTAAATGAGTGTTTGTTCAGAGACTTGCAACATTTACAGTGGATCATGGCAGCAACAATGAGAGGCATGTTTTATTATTGAGGTAATTTGATTACATGCTGGTTAATCCTTTCAGACTGGAGTGCAAGCTTTAAGAATTGGATTAAGCCCTTAAACTATGATTACTAAGATCACTTACCCATTCAGATGTAATGGATAAAGGACGTGGATCTAAAACGCAGCAGATCTCTGAGGATGAGATTCATTTATTATTCATTTCAGTCTGTGAGAACTCAGCTCCTTCTCTTTTTTTCCTTCATTCTCTGAGCTTTCATATGTTTGAAGCTGTTTTCATTAAATCCACACACTGGTTTTTATCTCCTCTCCATAACCGGCAATATGTCGACAGTGAACTCAAAAAATCCTGACGAGATAAAATGTCAGAAAAACAAACAGAGCCCGTGCCCGTTTCTGTTTTTTAAACAGTTTGTCTCTGTTTGTGTTCCCACCCAGCTCCGGGTCGACCCTATCCCAATATGCAGTTTCTGTCTTGGAACGAAAGAGTCAAATCGGGACAAGCGGCCAGAAGAGCTGCTGTCCTGTGCAGACTGTGGGAGCAGTGGTAAGTCGCCCTGCAGTCACTCACTCACTAGCATAGCATATTATTCATAAGTGGAGCCAAATGTTGCTCATTTTTAGCTTCTGTTTGCTTGGAATCCTTTATCTTGTCGACCAGATTCTTATATTTCCTGAAGTATTATATGAATGTTATCCTATGAATGAAGAGAATAATGCGGAATTATCACCCAATCCGAATGATAATGTTGATTTTAGAATAGTAGCAAGTCGGGTGGATAATGTGAATAAAATCAAATGTCAAAATATCTACAGCAGCAGTTTTATATCGGTCATTTTATTGCTTTAGTGTTATAATATTGTGAATAGTGAATTTTCAGGAAATCCAGTTGGCTAAATGTTTAATCAGATTTGTTAAAAATATCTGAGGCCCTCAAAAATCAAAGTATAAATTCATTATATTAATGGTGGCCTGACGATAGATATTAAAGCATCCTTAGCGTTAAGTCTCGAGAAAAATCAGTGATTATAGACACATTTCTGTCATGTGAGTTATTATCGTCATATAACCGAGCCCCAGCCGCATCAGTTGTCAGCATCGGTCGAGCAGATGTTACATTCTTACTCACATTTTTCACTTCCCTTTAAGGGACTTATTTGAAGAACAGTGTTCAGATTGAGTGTTTGAAGGGATGTAAATTGCCTGCAACCCTCAGTGGGCTCAAGAAGGGCAGATGCTCTGTAAGTGGCCATTATAGAATCTGAAATCATTTTCGCTCAATTCAGATTCTTCTTATAGCGTGCACCAGGCGCAGTGGATCAAAAGATCAACCCTGTTCTCTGTGCAGATTCGTGGCATTTCCTTTACAGTTCTTTAGTTCCACACAAAAATGGCTAACCCCCCATAAAATTACCTCTGCCAAGGAGTCATTTATGTTTGAACAATTATTTTAAATGCCGTAAGGAATTGTTCTCCTGGTGACATTTTTATAGCTCAAATTTGACTAAGTAGTGTCGAGGTGGTTTTCATTAACCGCTCCTAGTGTACACAAATTGTTCTCTGACTGTAAAACAGCTGTTTTACAACCATGAGAGGGAGCGGGGTGAGGGAGAAGGCGAGCGTTTACATGACTTTCATGGATCGGCTTCCATTAGAATGAGTGCTGCTACTGTTTCTGCCTCGTTAGGATCAAATTATCTGTAATTAGCGGCTCAGATGTTTGATCATACTGTTTTTAGGCACAACTTGTGGTGGGGTAAAAAATGTGTTGCGGACATGAAGGCCCACCATTGTTTTCGGTGTTGTAATATGTTAATATTTAACCTCACTGTGTGAATAAATGGAAAGTCTTGGTCTGTGGCTCTGTGACTCAGTGTTGGTGAAAGTGTGTAAAGCTAAAATGCATTTCTGATTGCATCTGAAGGGCATCCATCATGTCTGAAGTTTTCTCCCGAATTAACCTCAAATGTGAAGAGATTACGGTGGCAGTGTATCGAATGCAAAACCTGCAGTTCCTGTCGAATACAGGGGAAAAATGCTGTAAGTATAACGTTGCATACATCTTTACTCACACCATTTTTTTTGTGTTGTTGGCTCAGAGGTAGATCTCATTTTGTGTCTCCCTGAGGATTTGCTGGTTTTCCCTCAGATTTTTAAAGCCTCTCTTGTGCACAATTGGGCTTATTTTTCCAAAAGACTTTAAATGACGGGAGGGTGTTACATGTATGCAACAGGGACATCCCTCACACATGCCTGCTGTTCCCTTTCAGGATGAGATGCTATTCTGCGATTCATGTGATCGGGGCTTTCACATGGAATGCTGCGACCCACCGCTTTCAAGAATGCCAAAAGGTGAGGTGTTTACACTGTCTGGCTTCTCTGTTTCCTCCTCTGCTGTCAAATCAAAGCCTTTTCTTCACAGACGGCCGTTCGGGGCTGTCACTCAGCACACTGTGAGACTGCGGTGGCTTATTAGGAGCTTTGCATGCATATCAAATTATTCCAGCATCCCCGGGGAGATTTGCTATCTCTGGATTACAGGACTGACCCCACAGCGAGGCTTGTAATGATGGTGCACGTACAGTAGTAGGACATTTGGCAGGCAATTCATACAAGTCACATAGCTTTGCTCAACAGTCTGACACGAAGTCTATTTCTCTGGACAGAGAATTGACCCAATGTTTTTCTTATGGATTTTCGCTTTGTGCTGAGTAATTGATTGTCATTGTGAGCTGGTGGGATTCTCGCCAGTTCGCGGTATTAAAGGAGATGTTTCAAATAAATGTACTGTATGTCCTTCGAATTGATGAACCCAACCCAAACGATACTCTCTGTGTTTGGACACCCTCCAGGAACCTGGATCTGCCAAGTATGCAGGCCAAAGGAGAACGGGAGAAAACTGCTGCACCAGAAAGCCGATCAGATCAAACGTCGATATGCAAAGCCAATCGGAAGGCCCAGAAATAAGCTCAAACAAAGAATGTAAGTGTGCAGAAATCTGTAAAAAGAGACGCTCCTGTTGAAAATAATGAGATGGCACTCTGTGACTTTTCTGCTAATAACCGGGAACACAGCAACTTATCCAAAAAGAAGTTCAACAGGTTCACAAATACAGTTTTTAAAACAACCCCCAGGTTAGCCTGACAGTAAAATGATTACCCCATCGTACCATTGTAAACATCCAGTGCAGCTTACAGGCCGAGTCTGTGGCTCAGCTTTGACCTGATGCTGTGTTGTGAGTTTCCTAATCTGAGTAATTACTTTGGTGAGCACAGTCACAGATAGTTGATAGAAAATTATGGTCAAAACTACAAAAAATATGAGCTTAATTGAACACACCAGGTCGTGACTAAGTCAAGACAAGAAAACAGGGAAATTCTGATCATAATTAGTTACTGACTCCAGCACAACTTGAATTTACTGAGTTGTTTTGGATGCAAAATGTGTCCAATGCCTCCGAAAACTCCAAAACCTTTCTCTTACAGGGATAAATAACAAGCCTAGAGATTGAAGATCGACTCACTTACTTTATTTAAGTAAAGCAACACCACAATGTTTAAATATTGCATTAGTTTCAAAGTCCATTATTTGCTATTTTACTACATAAAACCATAAAAGCATTGTAAGCAATCTGCATTTAAGCCATTACTCATACCTCTTCTAAAGTGTGGTCCCTTTTAAACAATATGCTGTGATACATTACTTGATTAGAGCACACATATCCCAGAATTGCTGTTGACTAAAGCTGTTTTCAGACATGCAACAAACTCCACATTAGCTCCTCCTTATTTTTTCCCAGAGGTGGTGCATGTGTGAACGCAAATGTCAGAGTGAGACGCTCCACAGTTCCTGCAGACTTTTCTCGCCCGGCCTCCTAGTATAATGTCCGTAAAATCTCAAAAAAATGTGAGAACACAGCAGGGGAATCCCAGCTGGATTCACTGCGAGCGAGTGGGGGGGGGGTGCTTCTAACACGCGACAGACACAAAAAACGAAAACAAGTATCTCCGGGTGAAAAAGCGGTGTGATACATGTTGAAGACACGACTAATGTGTCTAGAGAGCTTTCGGTGATAAGAGCAGACACTGGAGTCTGTGTTGCAAAGAAAATAACGTGATCATTGCAGCGGAGTTAATATGTCACTTCCTGCCTCAACCTGCTGCACCCAGCCGCTCCACCTCCACCTGAAAAATGCGGAGAATCTGATACTGTTGTGAACGCGTCTGTGCAGAGAACCTCTCGCTGTGTTATGCATGCATGAAAGGCAAACTGCGGATAATTTCCGTAGCCAATTCTCCGGATTTTACCCACAGGTCATGTGAAAAAAGCTCAAATGTGCTTATGCAAGTGAGATGTGACCTTTTAAAACACTGTTGTTCTTGTCTTTGCAGCTCTGTAACCAGTGGTGACGGCTGCATGGTAGCACTTGGAGGAAGGGGGTCACCTGGTAGGGGTCAAAAGATTACCGTCTGTTCCACACCTTCATCTGGTCATGCTGCATCTGTGAAGGACGCCAGAGACAGATTGGCTGTTGCAGACCCCTGTTGTGCGGTCAACGCCACCCAATTCACCACTTCCACCCCCACCACCACCACTCTACCCCTCACGCCCACCTCCACCCCAGCTACACTCACCGTTAACAAGAAAACCAAAGGGCTTATCGATGGGCTTTCCAAATTCTTTACCCCTTCTCCCGTGGGCCGTCGCTCGCGAGCTGTAACCGTCGAGTCTCCCGCCAAACAGTTAAGCTCTCGAGACAAGGGTGCGCCCAAACTGTCCAAGCCCCCAGAGCTCTTTACCTTCGCTGCTGACGCCACGCAAATGATAACCCTCTCGTCCTCTGCACTTCCTCCGGCACCTACGCTGCCGGGATTTAGCCCCCCCTCGCAGGTGTCCAGCAGCTCCACTTCGGCTAACTCGCCCCAGAGCTCTTCCAGCCAGTCTAGTGTTCCTTCCCTGAGTAGTCTCTGTAATAGCAGCCAACTGAAGGGACTATTTGACGGACTTTCTCACATTTATACTACTCAGGGACAGTCGCGGAAAAAGAGACTACCTTGCTATGCGCCTCCTAAGCGCATGCATCATAAGCAGGATTCACCTGACGCATCCAAAACGGGGCCCCAGCCTCTTGGAAAGAACGAGTTTACTAAAAATAGGTTACACTCCACATCTGCGGGGCCGGGCCGACCCAGAGGACACCCATTTAAGATGGTCAGTCGTTTCAAACGTAACCCCTTCCTTAAAAAGCACAGGACACTAGGCAGGCTGAGGTATAAAGTGAGCCCTCAGAAGGGACCCCCCTCGCCAGGAAAGGGAGACTTGACAGACGGAAGAATTAAGCCTGAGAATAATCATGGTAAGCAAGGCTCGAAACTCCAGCCAAGACCTGCGTCTCCTCACCTTTAAGTTTCTTCTTTGTTTTTTTTTTAAAGCTTAACACTCGCAGTTATTTTTTTCCAGACTAGAGCTAATCTTTTCTTTGAGAGGACACCCTCAGCACTCTAACAGACTACTAATCTTCTGCCTAATTTGAATTCTTTTAGTTTCTTAACCCAGTTTCGTTGCGTTTTGACTTGGCTGCGGAGTTTACGTGGCTTCCATCCTCTTGCCCGTTGGCTTTTTGTCATAGTGCATGGCCCACTAACCCCCTCATGCTCCTTGCTCTGCTCTTGACCCTCTGCAGTAGTGCCCACATTGTGATCACTACATAGTAGAGGCTGTAGTCACATCAGTGCTCTTCCTCATCCCACCCTCACTCTCCAAATCACTGTCTCCACTCAACCTCACTTCCAGTGGTCATTACACACATACAACCCAGTGATTCACCCACCCAAGTTGACATGATGATTATAGACAGGGCTGCAGCAACCCTTATATTTCATCGTCTTCAGGAGTGAAGTCACAGTTTAAAAAATCACACGTAGGAAAAACAAATGGATATAAGTTCCAAGCACTTTAAACAATATACTGCACAAACATACTTACTGCAGCAGCACATTTCCATAAATATGTTAATGACAGATCACTTCCACACGTAATGGGTTTTTGTTTTGCTGGTTAAGTCATGGTGTTGATGTCTTTCATAAAATTACTGCCTGCTTTCCAACATCAGTTGCTTTTCATGTCGACACTTGCTCTCTTCACTGCATCTGCTTCTTAATTCATGGGAAACTGTCTTGGTGGATGACTAAGCACATGAAAGCGGTTACGCAATTAGAGTGATTTAGTTTCACTTCATTACATTAGGGATTTTCATATAAACATGCAAAGATGATACATTATGAAATTCCTCAGAGACATGGCCTCAAACAGGCTCAGCAGCAGCACTCACAGTATAAGCACATTTGCATAAAATGCATTTATGAGATTATTCAGCCACGGCTGCTTCAAACAGGCCGCTGCTGATCTGCTATCCGATGTGTTGATGTTGGGTTATTGTGCTTGTAACAGGCCACAACGGGGACCTGCACGTGAAGCAGGAGGCCCAGACGGACTTTGCGGCCATGTCGAGAGACCACGTCAAAGAGGAGGACATAGAGACGTTCAAGTGTGTCCAGGAACTCGCCGCACAGGTGAACAAACAAGGCTAACTATCTTCAACAGGCTGAACCAAGCAGTTTGCAATTGTGTTTATTTTTTTATATTTTCAGCTACTGTCAGTTGACATGGAAAATGCAATATTTATACTTAATAATAATCCCAACACACAAAGGGGGGTTAGTAAGTTATTGATGTAGTTTGAAGTTTCATGCCATGATTACCAATAAATAATGTTTTAATACAAGTATTAAAACTAGTGAAGGTGTTCGGCTACATTTAGTTTATCTCTAATTTTCATAAGATCTGTGAACTGTACTTGATTTGACAGTTTATTATACATTAATAGAAACTGGTGAATAGAGACACTATCATTGAATTATGTGGGTCACTGTGTTTATGTGTTTGTTCCATCTTTATTGCAGAGAACTGGATCTTTGATGAACACAGACTCCCTGCGTTGCCCTGCCGTTATTGAATTTGGGAAGTATGAGATTCAAACCTGGTATTCGTCGCCTTACCCACCTGAATATTCAAGGTAATGTTGATTTTTTTTTTTTTTTNCACCACAATATAATGCTTCTTTCCAACGTCCTTTTTTAAATAAAATATCTATTCATGCTGAAGTACAAACTGCAGCTCTCTCTTTTGTCTCCACCAGATTACAAAAGCTTTATCTGTGCGAGTTCTGTCTGAAGTACATGAGAAGCAAAAACATTCTCCAGAGGCACACAAAGAAGTGTGGCTGGTTCCACCCGCCAGCCAATGAAATCTACAGAAAGGACAACCTCTCTGTATTTGAGGTCAGCTTCCCTTCACAGCAATAAAGCAATAACTGTATGCTGCATGAGATTCCACTGAATGGGCTCTGGGAGGGAGGAGGAGGAGGAGCAGGAGGAGGAGGAGGGAAAAATGGGAACGGTTTGAACAGTGTCCTCTTGCTCTTTTTTATTCCGTGCTTAGGTTGATGGAAATGTCAGCAAACTATTCTGCCAAAACCTCTGCCTGTTAGCCAAGCTTTTCCTGGATCACAAGACCTTGTATTATGATGTGGAGCCGTTCCTCTTCTACATACTTACAAAGAATGATGAGAAAGGCTGTCATCTTGTGGGCTATTTCTCCAAGGTAAGAGTTACAGAGTGATTATATGGGAAATGAAGGAATACCGCACATCATTTTTGAATGGCGACACAGACTGACCTGTCCATTGTTGTAGCTTGGATTTAGCTTTATTCCCACAGCAGTTCTTAAGAAATGAGTCATTTCATTGATGAGTCATGACAGAAACACCAAATACTCACGTCCTCCAGCTTCTCAACTGTGTGGATTTGCTGCTTTTATCTATTTTACAGAACTTTAAATTGGATATTGTTATGTTTTGAACTACTATGCTGCTTTCAGACATGCACCAAACCCCGGACGTTGTTCGAATATGAACCAGTGGGGCTGTATGTGACAACCCAAATGTTAGTCAGTTGACGTGAACTTTTTATGGAACTTTCTCTGCCAGTCCCCTAGTAAAATGTCCAAGTTTGTCCATACAGCAGGAGAAATGGGCGTGTTGATTTCGTCTCTAGTGCGGGATCGACACAAAACTGGAAGAATACAAATATCGCAACATGAAAAATAGGCGTAATACAAATAGAAGACATTGACAAAGCAGTGGAATTTATACATCTTGTCCCACCTCCTGCATGCTCTACCCAGACAGCTCCCCTCACCCGAATGTTCTGGAATGTCCCTCTTGTTGTGAACACGTCTGACCTGGACATTTGGGAGAAAGTCCGCACCCGATTGTCCAAGCATTTTGCAGAGTTCATGTCTAAAAGCAGCTTTAGTTAGACAAAGTAAAATAGTTTTAAAAAGAGTTTTTGTGTTATGATGCATATTTTCACTATTATCTTATATTTGAAAAATAAAACTGCTAGATAATCAGGAAACAACTGCCAGTAGTAATACCTCTTAGTGTGAGCTCATCACCCTGTGTGTGTGTGTGTGTGGGGGGGGTTTGCACGTGCATGTGCACAGCTTTAGACAAGGACAATGGCAGGTGCAGTAAATTGCCAGCTTCAGCAGAGCTCTGACATACTTGATCTGTTTCTCCTTCCCTCAGGAAAAGCTTTGCCAGCAGAAGTACAATGTCTCCTGCATAATGATCATGCCTCAGTACCAAAGGCAAGGATTTGGAAGGTTCCTTATTGATTTCAGTAAGTTCCTTAATGCTTTCTTAGACCGCTGGACTGAGTTTTCTTTTTTTTCTCTCTCTCTCTCGTTGGTCTTGACAAACAATTCCAGATTAAGGGGTGAATTTGTTGCTTGTGGCAAGGTGCTGTTATTTGGTTAAGGCTTTGAAGTGACCTAATCAAGAGCATTCAAGTTCACTGCTCAGGCGATCACAGCAGATTAGGCCTGATAAACATACTTTATGGCTGCATACATTATTTGACGGCCAATAGCTTTTCAGCTTCGCCTGAAGAACGTTTTCATAGAAAATGCTCCCAATTCTCTCTCTCTCTGCCTCAGATGTGATGAGGTGTAGATCCTCCTTTTCTTTTTTAGTCCAGTAAATGCAACACATACAATATTTAAAGCCTCACGGTCCACTTATGAAAACAGTCGCTGCCTTGAGTGGATTTCTGTGTTCAGTGTTTTTCTTTTTTTTTTGTCATTATAGGCGTTTTATTATTTCCAAGAGTTGTCTCTTTGCTGAGTTTGTGTGTGATGAAGAGAAGAGGAAAAAGGAGCAAGTGCGGAGAGGGAGGCAGGGCGGTAATGGAGCATTTGATTTCCTGTTCACTTTGGGAGCCATTGAGACACAGAGATGCGAGAGGATCTGTGATATTGAGAGTGTGCTGATAACAAAGACGGGGATTAAGGGAGACTGAGCACAGCTGAGTTCTGAGCTCTTTGAAGGCTTTATTGGAAAATGTAGCTTTGGAACTGGAAGTTGTTTAGATTAAGCTTTTCTGTTATATTGGACTGTATTAGAGGAACACTTTGTCTCAGGTAGCTGGGAGAGCACAGACTTAGTGGGAGCTCGTGTAAGAAAAAAAAAAGGCTTCTTTCAAATAATAACTCACACTTAAAGTAGCTCTTTAGTGTTACTAATGATAATATACTCGTGAAATCACACAAAATGAAACATTACTGTTTTCAATTAATTTATTTGAATATTCATCCCTAAGTGTTTGTTATCACAGGCTCTTCTTAGTTGTAGTAATGAATATTGTTCTGATTACTGGAATATTATGTGTTCACTGTTTGGTGATTAGATTTGCTTGTTTGGTTCTCAGTAGTCTGTGCACATTAAAAGACATTAATTAATTTATTGCCGCTCATAATGGATGACCCTTGACAGGGCTGCTATAAAACTAATTACACACAGATACACATTAGTATTAGGGGTTTTTTTTTCTTGTACGTTATCTCTCCTAAGTGCAGTCTCTTGTGAGCAATGATATCCAGCTGCTACTCTGTTACGCTCTGTCGCTTTGTCGCTTGTTTCCTCTTTACTCCCCTCGTTCAACCTGCTTTGTTGCCCTTGCCAGCGTGTTTCACAGCATCTGACAAAGGTTGAAGGGGAGAAAAAGTGATTGCCTCATCTCCCTTTATACTATTTGAAGGTGAAATCCTAAGCAGGGTTCAGTGTCACATCCCTACATGAATATGCAATCCATAATGGCAGAGGAGGGGGGGGTGTATATCGAATTGCAATTTGAAATAACCCGGCAGCAGCGGTGGCCTCTAGCTTGACTAAAGCATTTTGTTTTTGTTTGAATTGTGTCTTTTTAGGTTACCTTCTCACCAGGCAAGAAGGACAAGCCGGCTCCCCGGAGAAGCCGCTGTCAGATCTGGGTCGCTTATCTTACCTGGCATATTGGAAAAGTGTCATACTGGAGTACCTTTATAAGCACCCTGATAAACACATCAGTGTTAAAGGAATAAGCAGGGCCACTGGGATGTGTCCGCACGACATCGCCGCTACTCTCCAGCAGCTCGGGATGATTGACAGACAGGATGGCAGGTCAGTTTCCGAGCCGCAGTCTCCTTCAGCCGGCGTTGCCATTTCTGTACGCCGTCTGACTTATCCAGGCCATCGGGTATTTTTAACAGCGTATCCATTAATGCCGCTGAATATTGACAGAAGTAAGTCAGGTTAAGCACCCCCAAGGACATGGAGCACCTGGTGTCCCAAAGAGCTCGTCTTTGTACTCATATTTAACCACACATCACCTCCTCTCTGAAATATTTGTACTCGGTCTGTTCTTTTGCGGACACAAACTCACAGGCTTTTCTCACTGTGACACAGGATTGTATTGATCAGAAGAGAGCGGCTGATTCAGAGGCACATGGAGAGGCAGAGGGCGAACCCACGTCACAACGAGGTGGACCCCGATGCCCTACGCTGGACACCCTCCACGAGTATCAACGCTGTCCTGTCCGAGGAGGAGAGGGAGGCAGAAATGGATGTATGTCACCTCGTTCAATTATCAGGCACTAGTTATTTGGTTACACACGCCTGCAATGCTGTTACTGTATGTTTGTTTGATGAGCTAAGGAGTTCAAACATAGGGCATTAATGGGAAAAGCATTCTCACTGTCAGCAGGCATCTAATGTTGTGCAAAATTGGCCTAAATCAGTTACCTACATAATTAATAGTGCTGAATATTCCATGAAATTCAATCTTTCCACGGTTGCTTAATGGAAATGTTTCCTCCATGACGGGCCGAAATCCAATCGGCACGCTGCTTTTATTATCAGGAGAAACCTACAGTGATTCATTTGTCATGATGTTAATTCCAATCTCTTGTTTTCCCATTAGCCTCATTGCTCAGATGTTGGAGCCGTGTGTGCGCCTTTCCCACAGATAATGCATCTTGTCTGTTTAATTACCAGGCTGAGCGGCTGAAGGAGCAGGCCAGTTGCTGGGAGAAGGAGGAGAGAGAGGGCTACATGATGACTCACGGTAGCAGACAGCCTCTCACAAAGGTCCACTGTAAGGTCCCCTACAGGACGTATGAACGCCGCCCCGCGCCTCCCTGGACCAGACGCATCCAGCAGTTGCAGGAAGTCAGCGATGATGAAGCGGATGATGACGACAACGACGAGGATGACTCCGACGGCTCAGATGGCTCACCACCCATCCTGACAAAAGCCCATGCGATGCTCGCAGCCAAGAGAAAGGTGACTTTTAATGTTTGTTGACGTGAATGATCTTAAGCACAACAGCAAGTTGCCCTTTTTCCTCTGTGGTATTTCCTCTGTGGTTATCTGGAATTTTATTCCATGAAAATGTGGAATTGTATGTATATCACAAGATTTCTTCCTTCATTAGGGACCATGTTGTGTACTCTAGTGAGATGGAAAGGTTTGATAAATATTCATGAATTCACTGGAGGGTTCAGTGGCTTCTTCTTGTCATCTGCAGCCGCCCCGCGTGCCTGCAGCTGTAGATAATAGATTGTGTTTTCACTGCTAGTGTTGAGACTGTGCAGGATAAACCTTGTACTATTGTCAGTGGTCATGGTTAATTTACTGCCCTCCTCTGTGCTTTTCACATCTGTTCTGTTTATATGGCACTGCCCCCTTGTGCTGGAGATAATATTACAGCCAGCTGCGTGATGTCAGGGAGACCTTATCAACAGAAACTGTACGGAAACCAGAGGAGAATGACAGTGGCTGTTGGGGTTTATTTCGGTGCATTAGTTACAGTATTGATTTCACATTCTTCTTGTGGAGGATTTCGGAGGAAGAGCGGTTGAGTCATAGGCGGCCGGTGGGAAACAACTGGAGAATGTAAAATATAGACTGTGGTTTCTGCTTACTTTGCCTGTCTCATTTGTGGTTTTCCACACTAGTCTGCATCGCTCAAACGTTTAGTCTAACAGTGCGGTTTAAACGTTTTCACATTTAGCACAAAAGCCTGAATGAATTTCTGCTATATCCTCATGGAGGTCATCAACCTAGTGCCCTGGTTTTCAGACTGCAAAGCAACTTTCACAAGGTTTTTCTGTGTTTTCATTGGCTGTTCTTGTGTTTGTGTTTCAGAGAACCATTGTCCTCAAGAAGAGAGGGCGTAAGAGAAAGAGAATAAACAGCAGCGTAACAACAGAAACCATCTCTGAGACGACTGAGGTGCTGAACGAGCCCTTCGACAACTCAGAGGATGAGCGCCCTATGCCCCTGCTGGAGCGGACCTGCAGAGTGGGCGAGAGAGAGGAAGAAGAAGAGGAGGAACAGGAAGAGAAGCAGCCAATAATGCCAATAAAACGGCGGCGAGGTCGCCCGAGGCTGGAGAAAAATGCACGGAAAGACAATCGTGAACACTGGAATGAAGGTATTTGCATCTTTCGTGTCATAAACGTAAAAATTATTATTCTACATTATTATTGAAGTGCATTACTTCCTCGCAGAATGTTCTTTCTCTGTGACAAAACAACTACAATGTGTTTTTTTTCATGGTTTTTTTGTTCTATAGGAGCTGACGTCCTCTCTAAGAGACCCGGCAGACCCCGTCCGGTGAAACGGAAGAAAGGCTGGCCCAAAGGAGTGAAACGTGGCCCTCCCAAATGGAGACTAAAGAATGAACGAAAGATGGGCTTTAAGCTCAACCTTTACACGCCCCCTGAAACCCCAATGGAAGCGGAGCAGCACCACATTCAGACTGAAGAAGCAAAAGATGAACCAGACCAGGATGTTGCCGGCACAGAGAAGGGCAGCAAAGCTGGCAGAGGCGTGGCCAGTCCAGATATAATGTCAGAGAGGCTCCCCTCTGAGCCCTCGAGTCCCGCTGACCATGCCTCTCAGAAGTCAAGCTCCCCTGAGGGATCACCCGTCGCCTCGCCGGTCTGCTCACCTGCCGCTTCACCTGGCCCCTTCTCCCCCCGGCCTGACGACAGAGGGGATTCCCCAGAACCACCCGAAGACGACCAGCAGGAGAGTGAACACGAGCAGGAGTTCCCAGCCAAAGATGCGGAACACAGCACACAGGCTGCTGTAGCACTGGAGAATGACAACGAGGAGGATGAGGAGGAGGACGAGCAGAGAACTCAAATGGAGGATCAGGATGCGGATGATGAAGAAGACAGTCACACTAAGAGAGAGACTGCAGCACCTGAGAGCAGCAAAGCAGAGTTGGAGCAGAGTTGGAAAGAGATACCTGAATGCCCCCCACCTTTTTTAGATCCAAAAGAAGACAATGACTCTGAGCTGAGTCAGCAGGTTTCTACAGTAAAATGTAGTGATGAGGAACAAGCTACCGCTGCAGAAAGCAACCAGGAGGCAGTGACTGACACAACAGTAGCAACACCACCATCTGAAGCAGTAGCAGTTGCTCCAGTAGCAGCCGTAGACTCTGATAACCCTGTGGACTCTGAGTCAGAGGAAGAGAACGCGCCGAGCCCTTGTCCGGATCACCCACCTTCTCAGACCGCAGAGAGGCAGACGCTCAGCCCCGTGCTGAGGGAGGATCCCCCAATCTGCGCTGAGATTGACTCAGAGACGGCCCAAGCTGTTCAGTCCCTGACGCAGGAGACTGAACGGGAGGCTGTTTTCCAAGAGTGTGTGGAGAGCCAGGAGCCCTGCAGGAGCCTGCAGACCTACACCCACGTGGCCCAGAGCCCCCAGCTCACCTCGCTGGATGACTGCCCTCAGTCAGACCACAGCAGCCCCCTTTCCTCCGCGCAGTCCCATCCTAGTCAGTCAGTGCGCTCTGTAAACAGCCCGGCTGTCTCCATCCTGGAGAGCGGCTACACTCAGATCAGCCCCGACCACAGTGCCATCTCAGTGCCCTCGCTCCACAACATGGAGACGAGCCCCATGATGGATGTGCCATCCGTCTCAGATCACTCGCAGCAGGTGGTGGACAGTGGCTTCAGTGATCTGGGCAGCATCGAGAGCACCACAGAGAACTACGAGAACCCCAGTAGCTACGACTCAACCATGGGGGGCAGCATCTGTGGGGCAGGCCCCTCCCAGAACAGCTGCTCCTATGGCAGCATCCCCCCCAGTGGCCTGGCCCAAAGCAGCTGTGCCGTGAGCCAGCAAATGGCTGCAGTCAACCCCGGCAGCTGCGGCATGATTCAGCAGAACAGCCTGAGCTCGCCGCCGCACTGCAACGTCAAGTCGCCACAGGGCTGCGTGGTGGTGGAGAGGCCTCCCAGCAACAGCCAGCACAGTCAACACAGCCAGCGCAGCCAGCACAGTCAACACAACTCCCACAGCAGGCACGGCCCACACAATCAGCACAGCCAACACAATCAGCATGGTCCACACAATCAACTCAGCCAGCACAGTCAACACAATCCCCACAACCAGCATAGTCACCACCACAATCACCACCTGCAGCACAATCAGCTCAGCCAGCACAATCAGCACCCTCAGCATAGTCTTCACAATCAACACAGTCAGCACAGCCAGCAGCAGCCCATGGCACAGTGCGCCATCCCCACCAACTTCACCACAACCATGCAGCTGGCAGACATCCCTGAATCTGGCAACCCAAACTTCGCCCTCTACGAGAGGATCAACCACCAGGGGGAGTACGGCAGCGGGCACTACTCTCAGTCGTCTGGCCTGAGTCTGGCCAAACTGCAGCAGTTCACCAACACGTTCATCGACCACCCTCACCCGCTGCCTTTCAACCACTCGGCCTCACACCCCATAACATCTTATGCAAACACGCCCTCGCTCTCATCGCAGCACTCCAGCCTGATCTCCTTGTCCCAGACCCCACATCGAGTCCCCAACCCACAGGTGCAGGCCACCATGACCCCTCCCCCAAACCTCAGCTCCCCGCCGCCCATGATGCTCCAGCGCAACATGGGCATCTCGCCCTCGCAGCGGATCCAGCCCCAAATGGCCTCGAAGAGTCACATCTCTGCACGCTCCAAGTCTGCCCCACTGTCGCACCACCAGCAGCAGATGTACGCCAGACCGCCACAGACTGTGGCCATGCAGGCGCCATCCAGGACGCTGGCCACCATGCCACGCATGAACATCATGCCAGCGCCAGGGTACAATGTCAACTCCATGAACATGTCCTCCCTCAACGCCATGAATGGCTACAGCATGAGCCAGCCCATGATGAACAGTGGCTACCATGGCAACCATGCCTATATGAACCAGTCACCCCAGTACTCTATGCAGATGGGCATGATGGGAACACAGCCATACCCCCAGCAGCCCATGCAGGCTCCACCACATGGCAACATGGTGTACACTCCAGCTGGTCACCATGGTTACATGAACACAGGCATGTCCAAGCAGTCCCTGAAAGGGCCGTTCATGAGGCGGTAACTCTCCGCAGGACCAAGCTGGTTCCTCTCACGTGCATTTTGCTGTTTAAAGATGCACTGATCTGGCCTTGTTTTATTTTAATTTTTAATTTTTGTTTATTACTTAAAAACCAGCAGCAGCACTTGGAAAGAATGCAAAATTTTTTCATCGATGAGTCAACTTTGAAGCTAATGTTTAAAAAGTATTTTTGTTCCTCCAGATGGGAAGCCTTACATCATTACGATGAAAATCTATTTAATTAGTGTTAGTGTCTCTGATGTGTCTTTTAGAGTTGGGCGGGTTCGGATCTCAGACGTAGAGATTTCATCAGTGCTCTTGCAGTCGTGTAGCAGCCTCAAATGAAGCCATTTAATGTGCCTGCTACAAGTGGAGTTAGTGGCTGTTTGAACCTGTTCAGTGTACCTGTCTAACAGTGCTGGCAATTAGTTTGTACTATACTCATGCCTTTGTATATTTAAATTATTGTACTTATTTTGTAAAGTGACAACTAGCATGCTTCAGTCTCTGTTAGTGACAGTGCATTGAGTAGTACTGTACAAGTGTTGTGCTTAATAGCAAGCCATTTTAAAGATATCTGGCCTTTATTAGGTTTCCCTCCACGGGGAGAAAGATGAAACTATATTTTGTTAATTCTAATAATGTAAAGAAATGTAAACTTAGTCCTGTTTTCTGTTCTGGTTTGAGAGGTTTTATTGCTATGTATGTATAATTCTGAAGTCTTTTTGTAACAGATCTCCTTGAGGCAGCTTTCTGTTTAATAAAGCAGACTGATTTCTGTCAAAAATAACAAAGCATATCTCAGTGTTTGTACCCAGAAAGATTCTAAAACATTTCAAAATGTCCAGAAGTGTGGCAGAATTTAAAAAGAACTAAATGATTATAACGAAAAATAACGAGAAAGAAAATATAAATTTAGTCCAAAGTTGATATTTTACATAATGCCTTTAAAAGCTACGTTTTCATTCCATCTGTAGATTTGTTTTCTATCTTTATAAAATGTTGGATTTATATTTTACCGAAGTGTAGAAGAATAGCGCCTGTGAATAGACCAAACTAAGCTAATGGATTGCATGTAAAACGCAACTTGTACTTGTGTTTTTGTTTATATTGCTCTTTTGTAGCCTTTGTACCTGTACAGAGTTGCTGGTAAGAAACGGGGGGGAAATACCTGGCTATGTGCACAAAAATGGGACAGAATGACATTCTTGTATTTATGACTTTTCTCCTTTTGTCAGTCACTTCAAATGCTGTACATTTTAGCATAAGAATAAATTATGATTGACCATGTACCTGATTGTTCTCCTTTTAATTTGAAGCAGCCAACGAGAACGCAGCGATAAACGTTGAATTTGTGGGGAATTATTAACAGGCAGCTGTTTGTCCCTGCACAAAAGTAATTTAAGATAGAGGACTATTGGCAAAACAAGGAAACTCGACTTAACTGCTCTGAGAGTTGATTAACTTCAAATATTACCCTCTGAAAACTGTTGAAACGTCAAAGCAAAAAACATTCACGTGGTTTTGGTAAAGTCCCAGTAAAGTAACAACGATACAAAAATAAATAAATGGGACGACAACATTTGACAGTAAATATGGAAAAACATCTTTAAAGAGAAAATGTTCATACGCTGACACTCGCATCCTGATTTTTGCTGATTTTGAGTTGACACGACTTGAACTTAATCTCGTCTTTAAGTACTTGTTACATTTGTCTAACTACTTAAGACTCGAGTATAGAGTTCGTCTTAAAGGTTATGAACCCTGACTGGGACTTGTTCTCAAATTACTTGAGACTCGACTTCGGTTTGATTCTCTTGATTTACTTTTGGACCAAGTTTTAAAATCATCTCTGCTCCATCGAGTCTCTTTGCTCCAGGAGGTGCATGTCCAGCTCTCTCAGCTGCTTCAGGAAGCCCCAGTTGGGGATGATCCGCCTGCGTCTCTTCACATGCTCGATGGCGTCGACCACCGTCATGCCCTCGCAGATCATGAGGTATGCCAGGAAGAGGGTGGCGGACCGACTCCTTCCCATCACGCAGTGCACCAGCAGTTTATCTGCAGACAAGAAACACGATGAGGTAGCTGCGGTTTTTTTAAATGTAAAAATGTTTTTTCGCATTCTTGCTAGTAGCATCTAGGAAGTTCTAGAACTACTAAGGCTACATAACATCAGAGTCAAATCTATGCTTCTTTAACTTCCTGTCGTCTTACTCTGAGGATTCTTCAGCGTTTCTTCCATGAACCGAGCTGCAGAGAAGAAATACTGGCTGAGGTCAAAGGTTTGGACGTCCTCTGCGACCACGCCATAGTAGACCACATCCATGTCGCTGTAGTAGCCAGCGCCGGTGTCCACGTTGTTCCACGTCCCCTCTGCTGCGTTCAAGACGTGCGTGATCCCCAACCTTCTCAGACTGGACTTGTCCTTTGCGGTCTGCCTGCCAGGAGCCGGCGTGAAAATAATTGAATCCTCTATTGTTTTATTCACTTCAGTAATTTCATACCTTTTACTCACTCGTCTCCGATGTACACGTTAGGCCAGACCTCGTTGACATGAGTGTAAGCCACACTCCCACGGTTGAGGATTTTCTCCAGCTCATAGCCCCCAGGTGTCACATACTCATCCACTGCACTGGATTCTGCCTTTGTAACATTTATCTTGGTGCCAGTCTTTGACTTGTGAGAAGCCATTTCTTCACCGCGGCTCCTTTTCACACACGATTTATTAGCTTTAGGGGAAAAAGAAACACAACTCTTGCTTTTCCTTCCCCCTCCACTTCTCTACCTCTACAATCATGACAAAAGAAATATATACTTTTGGGTTATTGCTTTTTTCCACATACATATTCAGCACCACTCACCAAGAGATTGAAGTCTGTTTTCCTTCTTGAGAATTTTGTTTTCATCATTCTGGCAGCTTGTTGTGAAGCAGTCCTTAAAGGCAGAACATGGTACGGTTTAATTCTGGCAGGCTCGAGTCAGGGCAGCGATTGTATAACCGCTCTGTGACGGGCATCAAATGCGGAGGATATTTTTAGGGCTGTGATGTGGCAGGCCCCTGACCTTAGCTGCCACGTTCCCTGCCTGTGGGGAAAACTTCCACCCCAGCCAGTCCCTGCCATCCACTTCTAAACGCACAACTTTAATCTCCGCTGCTGGCAGGGAGCTGTGCTTATCCAAACTTTGCATTTGCCAAAGGATACCCATATTCACTGGAGTGAACAGGGCACTCGGAGCTTTTGCTCAGCCGTATGAGCAACGCCCGGAAATTGTGTCAGCCTCTCTTAGCCTTTCTGCATATCTGCAGACACAGGGAGAGAGCGTGTAAGCGCTGCCTCGCAACACCCGTTAAGGATGTTCTGCATCTCCTGGAGCCTCTCGGGGCCAAAAGAGAAGTGAAATGTGTCAGACTGTTAGACAGATGAGGTTTTTCACAGGATGGCAAATGTCTTTGATTCCCGATTATACGATATGCACGGTCCATTCAGTGATCTAAATGCAAGCTCCCAAAGTGAGAGTGTGATGATGGCTGTATTGCAGAATGGCTGGATGAAGCTGCTAACATGTCAGACAGAGTTTTCACACCATCAGACTCCTTTATTTTTCCCTCATATCTTCATACTCCGCCATCATTCATTCTGACAGTGAAATCATTAAACCTGTGATATCCAATTCCTTTTATTTTGACAGCATCTCTCTCACTCTCTGTCTCCCACTGTGCTCTGGAGAGCATCTCTTATTAAGATGGCTTCAGCGTTTCATCTCGTTTCAAAGTCTGACCTGAATCTGTATACACGCTCAGAACCATGCTGGCACATTTTTGTCGTCTTGTATCAAGCCTCTTTAGACATCACAGTTTTAACTGTACGACGCTGGATTGCAGCGGTTAAGACACAGTATTTTGAGAAATGTGAATAAATAAGTGGAGCATTGTTTATTTATAGGCAAACACTGTCTATGTGTTGTTTGAGTGCAGCGGGGGTTTTGGCAGTTGTGCTACATTTGTTTTAATGGTTTCTGTAATATTGATTGTGCTGCTTGTTAGACAGAAGCTTAAAGGACCATTCCACTGTTTTTACATATTCTCACCTCCTTAACTACACATCATTTATCCACTTTACCTATTTATGACTAGTTTCAAATGCATGATTTTACACAGACTGAGATTTTAAATAAGTCCCAGAGAAAATCTTTTCAGGCTATTTCTGCCATTGAAGACAAATCCAGGTCATTAAAAACAAGCTTTATACAAGTGCAACACTAGTTCAAGACTCATTTAAGATAAGTCTCAAAGCATTTAATTATTCGTCTAATTCAAGATATAAGTCAGTCAAGACAGGATCAAGTCAAATCTGAGGTCCCACTCAAGTCTCAGGTACTTAATATCATGAATTCCACACAAGGACGATCGTTTAATGAAAAAATACATCAGTACTGCAGCTACGTGAAAGTTTCTGTTTTACTGTTTTACTGTTTCAGGATTTAGAAAAAGAAAACAGCAGAAAAGCCTGAGGTAGTCAAGTCCTCTTTTCTGTGCGAGTTTGACTTGAGTCCAAGTTTTAAGTCTACAGATCTATTTCCTTGAGTTTTGTAATCCATGACTAATATAAAGTTTCCTTTTGTGACAATGAAAGATAAAGTGGGATCCAAATGTTTGAGACCACTTCCCCATTCACACAAATTAAAATTTTCAGGTGGGTATCCGCTCTTCAAGTTTATCTCACTAATGTAAACGTGTGACATAATCAATTACACAACTTAAGGAAGTGTCAGGAGTTTGTAACTGTGACTAAATATATGAATAAATAATGCATCCAAATCTGGTCTGATTCTTTCAAAACATCCACATTAGAGGAACGTCTCTCTCCCGTGACCCTCATCTTCTCAGCATCGTGTTGTTCTCCTCTGCAGAGCCAAGGATGCGTCCAGGCGACGGAGCTGGTTCAGAAATCCAACGTTGGGAAGGATGTTTCTGTGCCTGCGAACAACCTCAATGGCCTCAACCAGGGTGAGTCTCTCTCTGATCATGAGGAAGGCCAACACAAGAGTCGCAGAGCGGCTGATTCCTCGTGCACAGTGGACGAGCACTTTACCTGCACAGACAAGAGTCAAATATCTTATGAAATATTTCATCGTCAAAAATATCTTATCTGATAACATCTATTGTTTCTGTATCAGTAGCTCATGTAACTGAACTGTGATAATAAGAAGGACATGTATCTTCTAACCCAAACTTAATTCTAACCCTAAAACCAAGTCTTGACCCCCAAACAGTCCATTAAAGGGGGATCACAAAGTGAGGACCGGCCAAAATGTCCTCACTTTGGCAATAATGTCCTCGCTCCGTAGGTTAAAGGCTACAACTGGTCCTCACAAAGATAGCTGTCCAAACACACACACATATTTTCTGAAGGACACTTTTTTCAGGCGTTACTTGAAACCCGTGTGTCTATTATTGATGGATCATTTTGAGCCATCATTTCTCAGATGTATTTAACATTACAATCAGATTTTGTGGCCTGATGATGGATGTTGTTGGATCATATTACAGCATGTTGTGCTTTAATATCCATTACTTGTTGTCACCTCTGCCAAGGAGGTTTTCACCCCTGTCCATGTGTTTGTTGGTTTATTTGTTTGTTTGAATGCAAGATTACACAAATACACAAATTAACGGATTAACACGAAACTTGGTAGAAGGATGTGGTTCAGGGAAAAATCCATTAAATTTTGGAGCTGATCCGGATCAGAGGGCAAATCCAGGATTTGATTTTTTTCTACTTTCTTTAGCATTGCCTGATTTGGGGCTTTTTTTTTGATGTTTTCATCAATTTCCCTTGTAATTGATTTTGATGAATAAAACCAGGCACATTTATGAAACTGGAATGAGTGTGTGAATTTAAGCTACTGTTTGTGCTAGTGTTTCTATTGCTCCCTATGATTCGTATGGACTCCTACCTTCCTGACTCAGAGCGCCGTGAATGAAATCAGACGTCTCCGTGAAGAATGGATACAAGTCGAAATCTTTACAGTCTGCTGCTTCCACTCCATGATACAGTATGTTGGTGCCTTTGTAGAAACGTGGCCCCGTGTCAATGTGCTGGGGGCCGTCTGCAGCGTTCACTACGTGTGTTATTCCCAGATCCACTAACAGGGTTTTATCCTGAGCTGTGGCCCTGTGAAACAACACAAAGATGATACAGGAAACAGTGATGTCTTGCCTGTGAGCAGCTCTGTGAGCATATGCCTGCAAACGCATCACTTGTGACTCAAATGTACAGATTTTATATTTGTCTCATGCAGTTGGCCAAGTAGAGGCCCTGTTAGCAGCAACACTTTCACAATCAGATCACCATATTGCAGCGGGGCCCCTGAAGTGAGAATGTCACTCACGCGTCTCCGATGTAGAGGTTGGGCCAAACCTCATTGACAGCTCCAGTGGGGCGTCTGTTCGTCAGCAGAAGCTCGAGCAGATCGCAGGTGGGTGGTGTCTGATACTCGGGCTCCTCCTCTGCGCTCATAGCTTTCACTCTGGGTTCGTCATAACATAATCATCACAAATTACACTCAGCTCCATATTTCATCTCAACACATTCTGTAACTTTCCCAAATACTCAATGTTCTTGGACGGAAACATTTGAGAAGTTGTCACGGCCGTCCTGCTCCTGCTGGTGTTCCTTCCTGTTTGGCATTTGGAAAGGAATCCGCGAGTAAACACGAGGCCCGTCGCTGCAGCTCGCCCTGTTTTCCATGTGAACTGGATATCAGTGTTGCTTGGTGGCTGAGCCCCGCTGGAATGAGACAGCTGAAGATGCCAGAGCCTGGGCCGGAGCAATGTGGACTATTTATTCCTCGGATGACTGTGACAGAAGCCAGGCAGCTTGTGTTGTGACAACTTTAACTGCGGAACCACAGCCGTGCTTACAGTTGTAGCAGCATGAGTGATTCAAAACATGGTGGGACAGTTTGTGTCAGGCTTCCACACTGAGTCAGTTCAGACCACATCCACTTAAACTTCACACGGGCAATTTAAAGGTTATTTTATCTGTTGAGTTTAAACATCTGAGGAGACTAAAGCTACAATTAGACAACACACTGTGTTACCAGTGATGGGAGAGTTCATTTCCACTGGATTAAACTAGTGGAAGTTATTTAATCAATTTCAACTATTAAACTATTTCAACTCAACGTCCATTTCTTGCTGCTTGTTTTTCAATTATAGATGGATTTCACCTATTTGTCATGGAATTATAAATACTAATGATTTATTTTTATTTCCGGTCTCCTGTGGAGTTTTCTTATAAATCAACAAACATTTACATTCTGTAATTCTGTGTATGTTTCACAAATGTGTTAATGCACTCCTGCAGTCTGCTTCCTTCCTTTGTTGGCGTATTACAACACTTCCTTGCTCCTCGTTGCCACCAACAGTGAGTCGGTGGAGACGTGTGAAACCAGTGTGTATCTCGAGGCCCCATGTGCTTGCACCAGCCTGTGCGTCCTCGTGCACATGCAGAGTGCCAACACAGGGATCTCCATCACCGTCAAAGATCCAATGCATTAAAGACACGTACGCAGCAGCTGCTAATGCGTTATGATTCACTGCTGTCGCAATGCAGTGCGATTTAATGCAATTTGATTCATCACACAGACTGTTATAAAGATGGATGACAGCTCCCCTGAAGTGAAGCCAGAACATTTAGATCCCCCCCCTGGTGGCTGGCTGCAGTATAGGTCATAAGCCCCACCTCATCCATGTGAGTGGATGGGACATGGGACAAATTTAGAAGTACATTAAATACATTTTCTCTGAAGGGTGCTTTCTGTTATTTCAGACCGTTCTTATCACACTGATGTGGGTTACTTAAAAACTTCAAACTGACAGGAGGCAACATGGTGATCCACTATTACGGACTGATTTCATCTCAAGTCCGCCCATTTCCGTTCCGGCTCCTCGATGATCCTTGGTAGTGCAGTTGTTTGTCCAGCTCTCTCAGCTGCTCCAGGAAACCATTGTTGGGTGAGATATTTCTGTTGGCGCTGACGGCTTTAATCGCGTCCACCAGCGTCATGTTCTCATGGATCACCAGATACGCCAGGACCAAGGTGGACGAGCGGCTGAGGCCCATCGCGCAGTGGACAAACACTTTACCTACGAAGCAGAGGGAACGGAAACCCAACGTCACTTCCTGCAGATCAGTTCAGTGCTCAGCCTCCCCCTCCCCTCCACCCTGTCTGTATTTATAATCACGCAACGACTGGATTATTGCGGTGTACTTTATTCTAACGGTCTAATTTGTCACCCCTCTGTGGATTTAAAAAACGTGCACATCGCAGAGAGCAGTACTTCTAACTCCCGACTAAAAGTTTCCAACAATGTTGCAACCAATGTTTCTACACACGGTAATCCCTGGTTCCTTATCGGGCCCGAGGATTAGGGCGCAGAGGAGCGCGTAATTGAACTGTCTCGGCGTCTGTGTATTTCTTCCGGGGATTACTGTAGGCCCCGCCACACACTGGAGCCCTCGATCAGCCAGCATGTGAAGGAGGAGGCCACATCTTATTACTGTCATGTCAGATACCGACTTCACTTTGCATAACAGGCCGGGCAGACACAGGCCACAAACATAATTGTGTAATTTCCATGTCCAATAAAAGTGTTGCTTACAAATTACCAGGGCAATCCATTTAAAACCAATTTTCCTGGCCAAGGTCTGAGCTTATGAGAAGATTACCGTGGGGGGAAGATATTAGCTTGATATTATGTTTAGTGTTTGATTTGCATTTTAATGACTAATACAACTGGGGGCTGCTGTAATGGGAATTGACTGACAAATGTTTCTGTGCCTCGCCTTACAGGAGAAAAAAAATGTCTCCCTCGAGTTAATGTGTAAAAATGATGAGAAACACCTTGAGCGCAGTGAGAGCTCCTCACCTGTGGGCGAGCTCAGAGCGTTCTTGATGAAATTGGCGGCTGAGTAAAAGAAGGGGCTCAAGTTAAAGGACGGCATGTCAAAAGCTTCCACTCCATGATAAGTGATGCTGGTGTCTCTGTAGAAGCTCGGCCCCGTGTTCACATTGAACTTCCCATCGGCAGCATTAAGCACGTGGGTGATGTGGTGAGCTTGAAGTGTCCTCTTGTCTTTGGCTGCGTACCTACAGAGAAATATTATCTGTCAGTGCAGAAAGTTAGTTATCTCAACAAGCACAGCTCATGTTAAATGTCACCATTGTGATTCTGATTGACTCTACAGTCACTGATATTTTATAAATAATTAATAAGTCGTCCAAGCGTAAATTAGAAGGATTTTTGACTTAGTTGGGATTCACATTTAAAACCTTTTGGTTTGTGCAACATAACATCATTGTTTGTCTTTTAATGTAGATTTTTAAAGGCTCTGCTCACCCACAACAATTTCTCCCACAAAAATATGAACACATATATTCATGGTGTTGAGATCTATGAGTTATAGAGTAATTGGGTTAATAATCTTGGTCTGATGACAAATGATAAACGTGACAGTTTTCATTCTGGCTCACATGTCTCCGATATAGATCCTGGGCTGAACCTCATCCAGATGGTTGCAGCTCCCTGTCTTTGTCCACATCAGCCTCTGGAGCTCTGAAGCTGGGGGGGTCTCATATCTACCTCCCGCCCCCTCAGGGCTCGCCGGGCAGCCGAGGCCCCTGGGCATGTCTGGATACTCCACCTCTTCTTTTACAACCTGTCACATAGAAGCACCACACGTCTAAATTCTCACTTATTAAATATAGAGCACACTGAGCTCTAGAGGTCAGCAAACGGGTCAGAACGGTTTGGTTCATCTTTACTTTGCTCGTTTACTGTTTAAGACAACTGATGACTTCTAATGGTGGTTTATTGAAGTGAGGACATCATCATAGGTAGTAATCAATACAAGGAATACAATGTGGGACTATAGTGAGGATTGTTAAATAACGCCATTGAGTGTAGAATATATATTCATGCTAATAACTAAAAACAGCAGTGAAGGGCAATCAGAACACATTATCGTGGGATGACACTCTCATTATTTTATCTCCTCTTCAGTAGCACTTGGTAGATTTATTTATCTCCACAGATTCAGAAAATTGGCATTCAAAGCTTAAAAACATCGGATTTTCATTTCCTGCAGGCAAGTCTAACCTGTGCATTTACAATTTACACACTGGGCTTTGGAGAGATTTATTCTATGCATACTGTATACATTAGCATCCATTTAGGCAGCTGTGTGATTCGGCTCCAGGCTGGGCACATACAAGTGTTGTGAACGCATTGTTAAAGTAAAGACACCGATGGCAGTTCATCTTCTTATTTGCATTCTGCTGGTGTGTGGAGACGTGGTGTGTCACTCAGGGTTTGGCAACTTATTGTTGTGTCCACAGGGAGATTGAGACCAAATCTGTTTCAGTGACCTTTTGTTAAGCTGTGGTGGCATATGGAGGTGCACTCAAACATCATGGTGGCTTTACCCATCTCTGCATGTGCACGTGTGTCACTCAGAGCATGTGCAAGAAAAGCCACGTCTGATCCAGTGTATATGAGTGTGTGAGTCTCGAAGGCAGAGCAAAGTGTGTCTTTGCACAAGTACAACATGTGCCCGGAGAACCTGGAGGCGCTTCTTCCTCCTCATTGATCTATAAGTATAACCCTTCCCTCCCTCCCACAGTCAGGGCAGAGAACTGATTTCCCTGGTGCACATGTTTAAGTGCAGCGCTGCTTTCATAGCCTCCCCCCTCAGGCTAACCTGTTCTTCCTGCTCTACTTCTGTGTAATTAAAGATGCTATGTATGGGAAAGTGCCCACGGTTAACGTGGAGGGCAAATAGAAATGGCTTTTTACCTCCTCAAGGCCTCTTCTTGGTGGTTTTATGAATTACACTTCCCTGTTTAGCCTTTTGGATGTGGTAAGTCTGGATTTGTGAGCTAATTAATAAAAGAAGAAAGTATAATTCCATCGGGCCATGGAGCATCATCACAGAACATACTCATTTGTAAAAGTGCTTAAGAAACATCTTTACCCTGCAAACAAAGGTACAATAAATCCATACTATGTATAGTTAATGTGCACTGTAATAAATATTTTCCAACATGGACGTCTATCTTCAATAAATTCGTAAGATCACATTGTTAGTAGACACTTGCCTTGGCTGGAAACGTTGCTTTTTCAGGCTCTCTCTGTAGCACTACATGTAGGTCGAACACAACTGTCTGCGTTCTACTCGGTAATCTACCCTGCAACCTTTTTTGCTATTTTAACATCTGAATCTCAGCCCAAAATAATTCTGGCATCATCTTCTGCATTCCTTAAAGGTTACCCGAGCTGCCAGCACAGGAGGGAGGATAGGACAGCGCTTTTTTTAACGGCAAGAGAACATGAGGGCTGTTGTACTCCACAGAGAAACGTGTTCAAATCAACACCTGGACACTTTGTTTCTGATCCGGAGCATTTAATGAATTAAGTGCAAAAACTACACCATACAAATTATATTTCAGAAAGAAATTAAACAAGTGTAGAGACATGAACATTTCTTTTTATCACAAAAACTTCATGAATTCATTTTGAATCATGTTCTTATCTAAATAAAATATCCACAGAATAAACCAACATATTGAAGCCACAATACAGGACAATACAAATGATGACATGTCACTCAGTGTTTCAGAGTTATTTTCAGAGAGCTGGTCATGTGAAAGCTGATGAGCAATGAAAATACCAACGTGTGTGTGTGTGTGTGTGTGTGAGAAACCTTGTGTTTGATATTGTGAGGTTGAGAAATCATATATAACAGGTAGAAATCATTGCTGTCAAATAATTTCATGAACAATTGAAAACGTTTTGATGCACAGTAGCGGCTCAACTCGTTTGACGAACACACCGAAGCATTTTCATACTTTGGTCTTACGTTGACTTGTAGAATCATGAGTCATGATACTCTGTCGAAAATTTTTCCATGAGACATTTGGTCCATTCTGTTGTGACACAAACTGAGGTGCTGAAGAAAAAGCATCTTACAAGAATGAAACATAATCAAAAACATAAAATCTCAATGTCTTTAGAACGCCTCTCTCTGTTTTCATTGTCTTTTTGTAAGACCTTGTTGTTTCAACGTTACTGCCTCTAAAAATCATTGTAAAAAAGAAAGAAAGAAAAGGTATATAGCCACTTTAGCGTGTCCACGAGGAGGTAATGCAGGTCATGACAAACTTGACATGAGAATTGATATTTAATGGTTTTTTGCATTAATAACTAATTAAAACCAAACATGCCGGAAAAAATTCTAACATTTCATAATATATAAATATATAATTTGACATGTACTTTGACTTTTTAGTTTGGCCCATGTCCCGTCCACTTACATGGAGGAGGCGGGGTTTCTAACCTATACTGCAGACAGCCACCTGGGGGCGATCAAGAAGATTTGGCTTCACTTTTGGAGAGCTGTCTTGTCGTCCATCTTTATAAACAGTCTGTTTTTTTAGGTCACATCTCAGACGCTGCTTGTGAGGAACTTATTTTAACACGTATTAGTGTCACTACCATCGCGCTTCCACACATGTTGGCAACAAGACTAATATTTTAAATACTGCTAGCATCTATCATTAGCAAAGCCATGTCAATATGATAATTATTGGCATGTTAACGCTCAGAATGTTAGCATGTTAATGTGCCTACAAGCATGTTGAAGCAGTAACATGTGCTAACATTGTGTCCTGAACATTTAACATGCTAATTAAAACACTGAGGGATGAGTAGATGAACTGTTAAAGAGTTAATGTAATCACCATTCCCATTCAGTTTTTTCTTTCTTAATGTTTAACAGGCTAACATGCTAACGTCATAACATCATAACACGTTAAGTGAATCTCAAGGCACAGCTGAGTCTGAGAGAAATTCAGTTATTATTCAGTTATTGGTTGAAATCATTTCAGTCTTGACTGTTGAATCGCTTTAGAAACCACGCCACCGTGTGGCTGATAAGTGTAAACGTCTTCTCCTGGTCACAGGATCTGACACAATCTCTTTTTTCTCGTCAACTGAAGATCGAGATCCAACAGCAAAGCCAGGAAGTTCCTGTTGGGGTAGATGGCTCTCTTCTGGATCAATTTCTGCAAAGCCCGTTTGAGCGGAAGCTGGCGGTGGATCATGAGGTACGCTAACACCAACGTCGATGAGCGGCTCATTCCCATGATGCAGTGCACCAGAACTTTCCCTGCGTAACAAGACAAGATGAAGGGTGAGGGGCATGTAAAAGGAAGGATTAGCAAGAGGTCTTACTAATATCATACATGGCTGCCCATCTCACTCTCAGGTCTTTCTTTTCTCCTACCATGAGCTAAAAATAGGGCCAACAATTCATCGCCTTTGTTCATTTAAGGTTCCTTCGCAGGAGCGGCCCGACTGTCTCTTTAATCCCGACTCGTCCTCTGCTTGATAGGTTCTCTGAAAGGTGCCATGGTCACATTATAAACTCAAATTCTTCAAGGTAACACCCTTATTATTGCTGCTGGCTCAAAATACACTTAGACACCATCACAAGCTGTGATATGGTTGTGACAGGTGACATTGAAATGTGAGTGGATGGGCTTATGACGTGCAATAAAAGATGGTGGTGTGCAGGAATTTTAAAACACATTTTTGCAGTGAGTGAACAAATCTTAACAGACTCTAAATTTAAGATTCAAAACCGACAGTGCAGAAATATGTTCAGAAATCGGGGAGACTTACCATCAGGTGACTTCAGAGCCTTTTGAATGAAATCGGCTGCGGGCTGGAAGTAAACATCTAGATCGAAGTGTGTCGAGTCATCTGCTGGAATGCCACAATACACAAAGTCGTTGCCATAAAAGCTGTGGTTCCCTATGCTGCCTCGCTTCGAGTGAGCAGCGTTTAATACATGAGTTATACCTAACTTCTGCAAGGCAGTCTTGTTTTGGGCTACTGCCCTAGCAAGACAAAGAGACAGAGAGAGGTTCAAGACTTCAACGTTTTAATGTTACAGAGAGAGAATATTTGGTTGGTACTATACTGCACGTCAAGGGTAATGACCTCGGGAAACTATTCAACACCAATAAAGTTTATAAAGTTTGATTCAGATTTTAAAAGAAATTGCATACTTACACATTCCCTATGTAAATGTTTGGCCAGACCTCGTCGATTTGACCGAGATGTAGTTTGCATGAGTCCAGCAGCTTCTGCAAATCTTTCACAGTTAGATATTCCTTTCTCTTGCCTTTCTCTGCTGACATTTTGGATGGAATCCTGGTCCAAATGCTTGTTGTATTGAAGCGCCCCCCCGTCTACTCCGGCTCAGGATGATGTGTACGAGCAGGTGTTTATCTGCTGTCACTGGACGGTTACCTAATTTAGTGCTTAACCTAGCGTGTAGTGTTTTACGTGCGGAGGGCAGAACAACACACACAGTGCAGCTCGGACTCTGCTCTTCACACCGCTGGGGGACTGTAATTTAATAAGCCTCAAACAGAGATGAATCATTCCATAAAGCAGTGATAATTGGATGTAATTATGGACAGAATGTTCAAGTGCATTGCTTACACTGGATATTACTGTGAGTGCACGGTATGCAGTATTTATGGAAGGAGGAATACTCCAACAGCCTCATGCAACTACTTTACTGCTCTGACATTAATATCTTGTGAAAGCAAATTGAATGAAAAGAGGAGAGAGAAATTAAGCTTTGCCGTCGGCTCCACACGACATGAAACAGCACTCTCACTGCTGCAAATGTCTCTTTTAACCCTCCCATTATGTTGCAGGTCAATTTCACCCATTCCAGCTTTTAAACGGAAGAAAAACATAATTAACCTCTCTGTCAAGCCATGAAATGTAATGACTTTTCTTCATTCAGGGTCATGGATGTGTATGTAAAAATGTGGGTGTAATAATGTATTGTAAAATGTCAGCACTGTTGTGTACAAAATCAGTCAATAAAGGTCTCTGGGTCATTTTGACCCGGAGACAGTTATTGATTGATTATCTGAAGTGTTGCTTCTGCTTATCGATTGCAGCAGAGTGTGTGTGGAGAACAAAACTCACTTGGGTATGTTTATATTAACTGGATGAATATGAACCTGCTGCTGAGTGTAGGATTCTGTGATAGTGAAGAGGCTCGATGCTGCGGATGCTTCTCTGTGTCTTTAAGTTACATTTCAGAGGCTGTTTCCGAAGCATCACATCATTCTTCCAATACATACACAATGGGCTCCATAAAAATAATCAGGCAATAAGATTTATATTCTTTCTGAAACACATTATTGAAAAAGAGGGAGATGTTAGTAATCCAGGATTTAATTCACAAGCTTTAAAAGACTATAGAAATCTACAGACAATTATGTTGTGTGTGACCACAGCTTTGCAGCAGCAAAGCCAATAAAGACTGAGAATGTTTTAATTCATGTATTAAGAAAAAACCCATTCACTGCAAGATTGTTCAAAGTGACACAAACTTGACATTTGAGCTCTGAGAAAATTAGAGACGATGACAGATTATTAAGGGGGACAGGTTTGGGCATCGTGGTTTTAAGGCTGGTATCCTCCATCATCATCCGACAAATTGTCTGCTGATTTCCCACCTTCTCCCATGAATCATCCAAAACCAGTTAATGAGCAGCTTTTACTTTTCCAAAGTTAAATTAGAAAGAGTTATAGCTGTTGAAATTACATTTGTATTCATTTGTAATTTTCCTTGACTCTTCCTAGAAATAAAATGTAGTAAAGCATATATAGATTGAATCTAAAGTGAAGGGTGATAAAAAAATATATTCTGCAAAGTTGTCTGATG